TTTTTTTTTTTTTGTGTTTTTTTTTTTTTTTTTTTTTTTGTTTGTTTTTGTGGTTGTTGCCTGTTGTTTTTTTTTTTTTTCTGTTTTGTTTGTGCTGGTGGGGGGGGGGGGGGGGGGGGGGGGGGGCTTCTGGCTTGGGGGATGGACGTCAACTGAGAATCTACAAACTGGTTGGCTTTTTTTTGCCAGATAAATTGATGGAAAAAGAGAGCCACACGGAGTCGTCTTTCAGAAGTTCTTCCCATAATATTTGGAATCTATTTTCAAAGATAATTTCTCGTTTATCATTATTTATCTTTTGTAATACCAATTTATGCGTTAACCAACACTCTGCAGCCTCCAGGGCAACTGCTACGCTGTGTCCTCTGTGTCCTCTCATCTTAATTATATCTCATAATGAAGCTGCCACAAAACATTGGCCAACAATTAAGCCTTTTGCTAACCCTTCTATTCCCTCTCCATCTCTCTCTCTCTCTTTTTTTGTTGTTGTACAACTCTGGCCGCACTTTCCTCTGTTGTCTGTTGACAATGCATTGCACGTACGCGCAAAATCCAGCGATAATTTTGCAATTATTGCTGTAATAACAAAGCCCAGGGCCCCGAGAGCCTGTCTCTCTGTCCGCCTGTCAGCTCGACAATTTGTCCATCACTCTGTGTGTGTGCGTATCCTGTCATTATCCTGTCTATGCCTGCCTGGCTGCCTGCCTTTTTGCCAAAAAATATTTACCTTGCGGTTGACAAACTGCCAGCCAGCACACAATTAATCCAACAAATGCGTGTCCCATCCTCATCCTGGTCATGGAGCTCGTCTCGCTCGTAGCGTATTCCGTATGCTTCTGTGTGTGCGGTGTGTGTCTGTGTGTGTGTGTGTGTGTGTATGCACTATCCAACACTGGCCTGGCTAATTTTTTTCCCGCTTCCCGTTGTTTTGCCGCGTCTCCGTTGCCGTTGCAAAAACAGCGCACGCAATGAGCGCGTTTTTGGCCGCTGGCCGACTTTTATTGTCTCTGCTTGACGCTGTTTTTGCGGTCTTCTCCGTCACTCCGGCTACCCACTACACTTCTCTCTCTCTCTGTCTCTCTGTGTGTGTTGCTTTTATTCGGGGATTTTTTTCCGCCCGGCTTGCTGCTGCTTGTCGTTGAGCGTTTGATAGCGTTCTAAACTCGCTGCTGGGTTGATAATCGCGCTTTAAACTAATCAACAATTAGCGCCAACGCCAAGCCCCACCTGCCAGCGTATACATATATGTATGTACATACATATTCATATCTTATGGACGTCAATATATGTCTTCAAATTCACGTTTAACCCGTTTAGCTCCTAGACAACCGAAAAGACATCGCGGGGGACACAACAAACACTTTTTGATGCTCATTTGTTCTGTGTTTTGTTTTGTTATTTTTTTTTTTTGCTCACCAAAAGTTTCCATCATGTGTTTAGAACATTGGAAACTGTCTTTATTTTTGCTCAAGAGAAAGGCCTCTTTTCGGCATACATTTGAATGACTTAAGCGTGGAATAATAATTAAAATGTGGACAGAGAAAGTCGAGAACTTCAGTCAGTCTTGTGTGGAATGAATGTACGTTTTCATCTATAAAGATTCCCCTTGAAAAATATGAAATAAATTATCATTTAGGAAGAGCATTAAGAGCATCATTTGGGTAGTTCCCACATGAACAGCAGACGGCTGAGATTTCATTTCTGGTCTAAGGTGCCACTTCATGGTCAAGTTGGTCAGTTTTTTTCTCCACTTTTGAAGCTCTTGTTATTGGCGCTGCCCTTGACGCCTTCCCAAGCGTCAATGTACGCCCTGTAGGTCATGCTGGGGTCCAAGCCCAAAAACCAAACCCCTTGCCAATCTTCCAATCTGAGACAGACAAACAAATAGACAAAACAAAAACCTGCTCCAACTTGGCTCGCTCGAAACTTTTATTTTCTTCTATTGACAATAGTGATTAGCGGGTTTATTTTTTTGTATTTTTTGTAGCATTAGCCAGCAAACCTGTGGCCAGAACAATTTCTAATGAACGAGTCAACTTTGTGGCTACTTGGATGCTTTTGTATCTTTTGGGGCGTGGGGCAGATGTGTGGATTCCCTTCACGAATTCATAAAAACCAAACATGAATTTTCAGTCATTATTGCTAATGATGTGCCCCACGCCCCGCCGCCAGCCCCTTCTCTTACGCTGAGAATTTTGGAGTGTGCAAATCGACAAATTTGTTGTTTTGGGCTTACACTGCAAGAAACTGGCGGGCAGCCAACGGTAACAGCAGCAAGGCCAACAAATTGGGTCACACACACAGACACACACACACCCGGGGGCACTCGGGAAAAACTTTCGCCAGCGACTGAGAGAGAGAAAGAGAGCGAGAGAGCGAGAGAGACAGACGGGAGGGAGTGAGGTTTGGATTCAGTTTGGTGTTCGATATAAAAAATTGGTTTTTATTGTTATTTCATTTCTACCGTTTATCGGTCTGGCGGCATCTTTACGCTGACGATTCTCTCTCTCGCTCTCCCCCTGCTTTACTCTCTTTTTGTGCTGCTCCTTTACCCCTGAGTGATTTTCCCCCCACCCAACCCCTTCGAAAGCGGTTGGAGCTGCTGCCTTGAACGCGTGAAATGGAGTAGAAAAATTGTTTTTCTATCAAAGGCAAAATATCGCGCAGCAAACTCTTCAACATTCTCCCCCACCCACCCGTAACTCCCCTCCCCCCCTGGGTGTAGCAACAATCGTTGCTGTATTTTTGTATATTTTTTTTTTGGACACAGTAGCGACTTTTCTCTATCATTTTAATGCCCACCCAACTTTGCTGGACACGCGGCTTTAACCTTTTTTGTGAGGTTTTTCTGTTGGTTGCTGCTGCAGGATGAACAGGTCCCTGCAGTGGTGAGCGGTGGTGCGGTGGTGCGGTGGTGCGGGGAATGGAGGTGAAGTGATGCTGGTTTGGTTTTTGGTTTCTGTCTGAGATTCAGGAGATTTCTGCCACTGACGCCACTTGTCGTCCTCTGCTGCCCCGACTTTGATTTGTGCTGCTAATTGGACTTTCATTTTGCTTCAGAGAGCCAACAGTGGGAGTCGGTGAGGAGTACGAGTGTGTGTGTGTGTGTGTGTGTGTGTGTGTGTGTGTGTGTGTGTTTGTGGAGGAAGAAAGGGTATGGAGAAGACAGCGCTGTAGTGTAGTGCTCTTGTTGGCGATACTTATGCCAATTCCTTTTTAATTGCATTTCTATCAATTATTGCTTTAAAGCTGAAACAGAGAAGCGACGCACGATGCAGAAGAGAGCAAGCGATCAAGGGAGAGCTTTGCAGCAGGTAGAAGCGTAAGCTGGAGAGCGCGAGCAAAGTGCAGCAACGAAGAAGGCGGGAGAGATAGACGAAAGAACGGCCGCAGCCGCAGTAGCAGTCGCAGTCGCTGTGGCAGCCGCTGCCGCGCGTAAGCACATGCTGGAACGGTGCATAGGAATAAGCTCTGCCGCTGCGCTGCCGCTTAATTACTCGTGTAGTACAGTAGTGGGTCCCAATATTGGGATGTCCATACCAATTGCACTGCAGTGTTCCATTGTTGCAATGAGTAATTTTCATTTTAATTGTAATCTTTTCAACACTGCAATGCTATGACATAAAAAATTCTTTGGCTCACAGACGCCTGGCCTGCTGGGAAGTTGCCCCTTTTGGCAGCTCCATTTCTCAGTTCATTGTTTCGTTCAGCAAAAGTATCTCTCAGATACTTTTACTTCCCTCCCGCTCCTTTATGGTTGATGAACATTTTATGATAATTTGTTGTGACAAATTTTTTAAGTTGTAAATTTTGTTTGCCGAGGGGCGCAGAGGCAGAGGAAGAGCAGAGAAGAGAAGATGCTCCGTACAATTACACATTGCATAGACAGAGAAAGGGAAAGATACAGAGTAAGATACGGAGATACATTGTGCATTCGGTGAGCCATATGTTTGTCTAGAGTTGCCACACTTGCAACACACACACACACTCACATATGCTTCCGCTCAGTGTGAGTTTCCTTGTTCTTCGGCCGGGGAGTGGGGCTGTGAGTGTGTTTGTTTTCAGTTTACTTTTGCCGCGTCTGCATTGCGTCTTTTGTTATTATTACATTTTCATAAATGCAAAAGATACAGCTACAAACACACACACACACAGAGAGAGCGTAGAACTCGTTGATAAATTTTGTAAAGTTTTGTCTGCCATGCGGCTCGTTAGCTGCCTCTGTCTCACCGTCGCCCCGTCTCTGAAGCTGAAGCTTCAGCTCCACCCCTGGGTGTCCTTTCTGTGGCTTCACTTGTCCCTCCAGCTAGCTGTATGCTTGGTTACACAATCACCCCATCCAGGCCGAGACCCCAGCCAAGGGCTCTGTCTCTGTTTTATACGCATGAAAAATAGCTTCTTCCCAGTTGCAACGTTGAAATAAGATATTTCAATTTTGTATTGTAATTTCAGAACTTAAAATGTAATTTTTGAACACATAAGGGAGAGAGTCCATTGTGTGTAACCCTTATCCTACTTTTTGTAAGCTCTTCCTGACTGCCTTCCCCGTTTCCCTTTTTATGCTGCCTGCCATTTTCTTTCACCGTTTTCCAACTTGTTCTTCCAACTTCTTCTTTGCCGGAGAACCTGGCAACCCTTGCGCAATCGTGTCTGCCCTGTGCGGCGGATAGACGGTTCAATATACACGGAGCATAAGCCAGACAGAGACACATCCACCCAACCACCAGAGGCTCTCTCTCCCCCCCACCACCACCCCATTCAATTGTTGCTTCTCTTTGGGAAATTATGCAAACAGACTACAAAAAAACGGAGAAAAAAAAGAGCCCAAGAAACGTTCGGTCGGGTCTTGACAGGAATGAGATGTCTTCCGCTTGGCTCAGTTTTTGCTTGTAATAAAGTAGCAAACTGCACCACCAACAGCCACCACCACCCCACCTGCCCGACTCACCTCGTTATAACTGCATGGGCGGCACTTTTTATGAGCGCATACCCTGGAATATAGCAATGGGTACTTCGCTCTTGGCAGAGAGCGAAGAGAGGAAAGCCTTGGAGCAGCTAGCCGCAGTCAGTGAGTAACCCCGCTGTCGACTCACTTGAACTATTTTATGTGTGCCTGTGCCTGTGCCTGTTCCTGTGCCTGTGTGTGTGTGTTCGTCCCAAGCATTTGTGGGGCTGCCGCCTAAGGGCTGGGCTGCCTGGCTGCCTGGCTGCCTGCTTCGGCTCAAGTTTTTGGCAGCGCTTAAGAACTTAACACACAATGCCAAAATGTGCAAGCGGGGAAGGGGAGTAGCAGCAGCAACTTGCCACGCCCCCTGGCACAGCACAGCACAGCACAGCACACGCAAAAGTTTTGGTAGTGCAGTCCTGCAGCACACTCGATGCCACAACAGTAGCACCCAAAAGCCAACCGCCTGCATCTCCAATTCAAAATTCGGTGAATGGTGAACGGTGCCCGTCCACCCCCCTGCTGTGTGGCCCACCAAGTGACAAAGCTGGCAACGTCGTGTGTTGTAGGAAATGAGCCAAATTATGGCAAATTGTTGGCAAAAGTATTTAAAATGAGTTTATTTTCGAAATAAAAACTTCTGGATCCACCGCCCGCCCAACACACTCTCTCTGGGGGCATGATGTGTGTGTGTGTGTGTGTGTGTGTGTGTGTGTGTGTGTGTGTGTTTGTTGTGGCAACCCACCGCTTACGTTGCATACGATGTCAATGATGAGACACAATAATGACAGGAATAGTAGCCAAAACTGACAAGAGACAATTAAAATGCCATTAGACAGGCAACCAAATGCGAGTCGAATGTCTGTCTGAATGTGAGTGAATCGGCAGCTCGGGTGCTTCATTAGCTTCCGGGAATAACAAACATCGGAAAACTTTAATTCAAGCTTTAATTGTGCGCCAAAAGTATGCTCTAAATATTTTCAGAGGCTTGCAAAAATATTTACTGCTTGATAGCCGCTGATTTCACGTAGCCACACAAAAAAAGCTTAAAAGAAAGGACACAAAATACAGTTCAAAATTCAAACCCCATATTTTTGTGCTACTAAATGCTGTTGCTGAGGCACAAAAGAAAACTTGCACTGCTTGTGGTAAATGCTGTAAAAATATGAACAGAAACTTGCACTGCTTGTGGTAAATGCTGCATAAATATGCAAAAATATTTGAAATCCTTTTTCGTGTGCTGCTGTCATCGGTGGCACAGTAACTACAAAGACATCAATCAATGATGGACACACACACCTAGGAACCCAAGAGCAACACACGCGTGGACAAGTGACTCGCCAACTGTGAGCCAAACACACACCAGACTGAACCACACAATTATGTGTGTGTCGCTCCCCTCTGGGAGAACAAGCGACCTTAACTGTAAAACAAAAATGTTGAAAACCTAACAACAAAATGTAAATCCTTTCAATTGAAATGTTACATCCAGGACACAGCCAGAACAGCAGCAGCAAGGGGAACTTTGGCTCGTCAGCAGCTTTTGCTTGTTTGCGCTTCTAAGTTATTGTTACTGGTGCCAACTGGCTTAGCGACTCCGACTCCGACTCCGACTGCGACTGCGACTCAGCAACCCCTCGTTGGGTCCTTTGTCGAGTGCGTATGCTTCATATTTCCCTTTTGCTTTTGGTCCTGTGCGTGTGTCAACTGGCTTAAAGTTGCGCGTGGATTTGCTAGCTAATTCCATGGCAAGCCATTAGCATAAAATTGTGCACATAAAACGCCACTTCTGGGCTCATCGTTTCCCATTCAAGAATCCCCATGCTACGGCACTCATTTTTTGGTCTAACATTGGCAGCACTGCTTGGCACTGCTTGGCAAAGAGCCGCGCTGCACTGCTTGGCGAGCAAAAAAAAAACAATTGCAATATTTCTGCCCAACTAACATTAATAATTCCTCGTAGCTTAAATTGTTGCATTTGCCGCAATTTATTTTGACTTTTTTGAATTTAGCAAACGAAAAATAGAGTTGGAATTTTTGAGTGGCGAAAGTGAGGCGCAACCAGCGACGGAAAGGGAAAGTCGTCGTCCATCGGTCACCAATTGGAACGTGGAACATCTACTTCAGTGTCCTGCTGGACAAGGTCTTAGGTCTTCTGCCTGTAAGCAATATTTTTAGAGGATTTTACAGCGGCAGACTGCCTTGCGGAATACTCACAATATTCAATCCAAAATTATTGATTCTTCTACTCTGTTCGGCTGTTGTGGGGTTGCGGCCTGTTGTTCTTGTTGCAAATTTCGATTCCAAAATAAAGTTACAATTTCAATAAAACAAAACAATTTTTTTTTTGGTTGTGTGTCGGACGTCGACTAGACGTCGCGAGCATCTGACGGAAGGTCAATGCTCGAGTCCCACTCATTGGGATTAATGTAAATCTTCGAGGCAGTGCCACGGAGCGAGTCGATGCCCTGATTGAAGGGCACGGGCTTGGGGCGGGTGTGTACGTTCTCCATCCAGCGGGAGAAGGCGCCATCGGCCAACTGACGGCGCGCCAGAACACGCTGCTCATGCTCCTCTTGCTCGCGTGCCAGGCGCTGCTCTCTGGCGGCAATGCTGCGCTCAAAGACCTGGAGGCGCTGCCTGCGCTCCTCTGGGGTCTCTCTGGGACGGCTCACATTGGTGGGCACCGAGGTGGTGCTGGACTTCTTGGGGATGGTCAAAGGCTTCTTGTTTCGCTGCTCCTGGAGCAGTTGCGCCTTCTTAAGGTTCCACTCTCTGACCTTCTGCTCGGACTTCTGCATGCGCTCCTTGTGCAGTCTCTCGAGTCTCTCAGTCTCACGCTTCTTGGCCAAAAGATCCTCTTTCTTCTTTTCATTCTTGCGCTGCATCCACTCCTCATAGCGCAGCTTTCTCTCGTGCTCCTTTTGCTCGCTGCTCTTGCTGCTGGCAGAGACGATCGTCTTGGCGCTCTCTGGCTTGGCGGTCTCTGGCTTGGCGCTCTCTGGCTTGGTGCTCGGCAGTCTGACGGTCTGCAGTCTGCAGCTGTCCAGGTTCAGTGATGGCAAAAAGCGACAACCACCCTTCGATGGCTCAAGAACATCGGCATAGGCATGGGTCCAGCTGAACATGGACTGCGAAGACACCGAAGCAGTGGGTGAAGAACTTCCCTGACTGTCACCGAGGTCGCTGCAATCGCCAATGGAATCGGCATGCACAAGGGTGGGGCTCTCGCTGAGCCAATCCTCCTCGAGGGGCGACTCATTGCCATCGATGTGGAGTCCAGTCAATGCATCAGCGGCCTCAGCCTCCTCCAACTCCTGGCAGAAGTTCTTCAGGGTTTCAGCGTCACTCTCCAGATACTCACCAACATCCCCGCGATCCCCAACCAGTGTGCAGGTTGAGGTATCGGTGTCGGTCTCGGCTTCAGCCACAAGCGTACGATCGGTTAGTCCCGCATCGGACTCATCGTTATCACTCTGAGCTCCCCAGTTGGGCATTGGACTGTCGCGTCCAGTTGCAGCTCTGCCAGACAGCAGATTCTGCTCTACACGTTGCCCCTTGTCGTCGCGTCGTGTAATAAATGCCATTGCGTTGCCCTTGAATTAAATTAGCACAGGCGAGAGAATGTAAAATTATTTTTCTGTTTCACAGAATATTTGTTGTGTGTTTCTACGGGTCGTCTGTTTGAGACTAAGGAATTGAGTGACGAGTTTGCTTTGTGTGCGCCTACAGAGGATTCAAATGGTGCTAGATGTTGGGATTTTTTGATTCGTGTCATTACACTTTTTGCCGCACTCGTAGCCTCTGAGATTTATGCCAAAGCCCGGCAGCATACGAAAAGATCTCGGCAGCGCAGTCGGCGAACGCACAGCGCAACAGCTTCGTGAGCCGCTGCAGCGGCAGAGAAAGAACTTCGTATGTGGCCTATGCACTTTTGCTCGGCTGCGCGCAGCGGCAGAGAAGCAAGAAACGTTTTTGGGCTTCGTTTGGCTGCGTGCAAAGGCGCTATCGCTCCCTCGCTTACTCTCCCGCTTAAGTGCATGGCAAAGATCCGTTACTACGTATGGACAGAGAAGCAAGAAACGTTTTTCGTTTCATGTCTGTTGTCGATGCACACAAGTGCACCAAAACATATTTATGCATGTGTCGGATATGCAGAAATATTTATATACTTCATGCAGTTGAAAGCTCTCTGAGTAGCGGTTATAATTATTTCACTCTGAACATAAGCAGCTTCAATGATGTACGATTAGTGTGGGGTTTTGGTTGTTTGGGGAAGGGGGAGTGGGAATTCTGCCAGCAGCTGAAGGTGCCACCATTATTGTGATGTCTGCTGACTGACAGCTCTGTTGACTGTTTCTCTCGCCCCTTTTCCGACAGCCGCTTTGTCTTGTTTGGTTGCGTTTGTTTTCTTTTCTCTTTTTTGCTCTTCTTCTTTTGGTTGGGGTAATGCTGAATCAACAAAGTTGTCAACTTGGACAATCCTTGGAGCCTTTTTGTCGAGTGTTTGCTTGAGCCTAGCGATTGCTTCTCCTTTGTCTGCTGCTTTGCCTCCCACACTTTTGCCCATTCCTCATCTCCTATTGCCCGATCCTGTGCCCGCTCTCTGCTGCAGAGCTACAAAAACTCAGCGTGAGATAGTTAATTTGTTTTCACTTCAGCAACAAGAATATCATCGTCATCCTACGTACTCCTGCCCCACACCCAGGCTCACACCCACACCCACTCCCACTGCCTTTCTCTTACACTTTCTCTCTGTGTTTCTCCTCTGCCCATCACTTTCGCTGTGTATCCACCACTTTTGGCTCATTTATTTTCAGTTTGACGCCTGAGCGCTGCTTATTTGCACAACAATAGACAGCAGGAGAGAGAGAGAGAGAGCGCGAGTGGAGCAGGAGAATGGCGAAAAGTGGACTGAAAGGGATGAGGTGTCTGCTGGTCTGCGGACAAAGCGAGGGAGCAGCCATGCTGCTGGCGTGCCGGCCCAGAGGGTTGTGTGAGAAGTAGCCGCTGTCAAACTTATCAAATGGCGACGCGAAACAGAAAGAAAAGATTGCATAAATGAAGACAACACAAGGGTGTTGCCAGCAGAGACGCGTACTGATTGTCAGTGGCGGGTGAATGTTGTGGGTGCTGCTAAAGGCAGTTGACAACTGCGAAAAAATAAAGTAACTGGCAATGGTAGAGGGAGAGGGATAGGGAGAGGGAGAGGGTGGATGGTGGGTGGTAAATTGTCACAAAGCAAAATTAAAAACGCAAAAACAAAAGACAAAAGACAAACCAAGGCAGCAGCAGCAGTAGGAGAAACCTCCAAGGGGCTGGCAGTGACTAGTGCTACAGTGGGCAACATCAACTCAAAATGTGGAGCAAGTGGCAGCGAGAGTCCTGTCCTGTCCTGTCCTGTCCCATCCAATCCTGTGTAGCGGCAGGAGAACACCCAAAAAGTTGTCACCCGCTTGCCTGTCACGGCTGCAAAATATTTCAATTTGGCATTTTATCCCAGCAACAAATGTTGTTAGCTGTTTTGCCACTGTGGCTGGTGGCTGCCTCCGCGTGGGTGGATGGGTGTTGCGGGTGTCGTAGGCTGACATATTTTAATTAAATTGTTTGCGGAGCCACTTGGCCTGAGCTAAGGCTGCGGGCAAGTGCCCCCAGAATCATCAACACTTTATGAAAAGGATTTATTATCCCGAAACGCTCCTCAAGGGCGATAGAACTACTTACAGGAAAGGTGTGCCGCCCACTTAGGGGTAGCTAGGGGTAGCTACGAATAAGCTGCCCAAGATCAAGTGGGGTCAGAGTGTATGCTACGTACTACAACTAATTATGTTTATTTTTAATAACTTACTTGGGTTGCGTGAACGCGTTTAAGGCTGACTTGCGACCAAAATATATTGTTGCTGAAATGAATGCACGAATGTCTCCTCGATGCTCTCTTTGGATTGCGCTCACAGCTCTCTGTTTTGTGTGTTTCCAGCTCTGTGTAGAGCTGTGTTCCGTCTCAATATGTTTCTAGTTATGCTGAAATGTGGCGTTGTTGATGCTTAAGTATAATGTTACTTGGTTCCATATAAACATTTGGACACAAAAGTATTTGGCAGTCTGTGGGAATCTACTTTATCTAATATTTTCTGTACTTTACGTCAAAGTGCAAAGTGACGTTCGAAAATGACAAGCGTTCCTCAAAATTGCGTTCTCCAAGAAGCAAACAGGATCGTAGGTAAGTCCCCGCCCAGTGACTCTCTCTGCTTTTCCTTTGCCCTCCCATTGAGTGGTAATTCTTCTCTCCATAAACTTTTCTGCCTGCATGCCCATTATTCCCGTTATGGCAAGAGGACCGAGCTCAATGCTATCATTACATCTGTCTCGCTTTCGCATTTACACTTTTCGCACTTTCACACTTGTTCCACTCCCGTTTAACATTTCTCTGCGCTCACCTCCGCTCTCTCCGCTCTTGCGGTTTGCTCTCCCACGCTCGCTCTGCTCCCTGCTGCCCGCTCTCTGCTCGCTGTGTGCTTTTCGCACTTGCTAACCTTTCTGCTTGTTTGTGTGTGTGTGTGTGGTAATAGATCAATGAGATAAAATATATTTTATTATGCACACAACAAAACAAAAGCCTCACGGCGCAAACCAACATTCGACCAAATATTATGTGAGAATTATGAGAGGGTCCTCCTAGTCCGTCCCTCCCCCTCCTCCGCTACGGCTCTCAATTTTAATTATGCACTCGCAGTTAGTGCAGAATTCGGGACTATTCAAACATTTTGCCGCTGGCCAGCGAACAATTAAAAAGCGACGCGTGCTGCGCCCTGGAGGCCGGGGTCTGGGCTGTGTGGGCGTTAAACTTGTTGGCTTTTGCGATTATTTGATGGGCAAAAGAGTAATAAACAGCTGAAAGCGGCGAGAAATTCCCTCCATTGCATTTGCCAATTTTTGTACAATCCACTGGCCATGTGCCCTAAGCCTGATTAGTTGCAATTGAATAAAATTCAAATTTTCAAATAGATTAAATCGGCTGCCAGCGAAAGTAGTGCAGCAGCGGCACTGACAGTGCCAACAATTTGTTTGCTGCCTGCAGCTTACACCTACACATAATCTCTTTAGGGAGATCCTCAATGGAGGTTTAAATATTTTCAACATTTTTGCACATTTTTTAATGCAAAAATTGAGTCACAAACTTGAGTCTCAAATTAATTGGTTCCTCAAAGACACAACTTTGGCAGCCGCTGAATCAAGGGGGAAGCAGTTAAGATAAATAAACAATACACAAATACAGAGAAATAAAAAAATTATATTAAAAAAAACACGACTGAAAAAGAGACCGAAAAGCTGAAGCGAAATGATTTTCTAAGTAAGTGCAAATTGCGTTTTAATTAAAATGTAAAAATAAAATACACACAGAACCAGGGACGGGCACAAAGACAGTGCCAGGGGGGGTGTAGGGGGTATGAAGATGGACAACGCATGGGGGTTTTGTGTGGGCGTTGGCAACACTCACAAATATAAAATAAATAAAACAAAAGCACAAAAAAAAAGCGAACAAGAAAAATAATTAAAATTTGGAAAAGTAAGTTGGAAAATGTTTTCTCGCCTCTCTCGTCCTCATCCTTGTCCTGTGACATCTGCGCGAGTGTCGCTAACTGTTTGAGGAGGGACTGTACCCGGTACCTCTTGCCCTGTGGCAACTGGAACTGCCATTTGCTTTCCCCCAGACGTGCCAAAGTATTAACACTCTCTAAGCTTGCAAAAAGCGTAAATGTCACAATTCCATTTACTTTTCGTATTTATATTTTCTTCGACTGGCCATGCCCACTTAATGGCTGTCCCGCCCCCCACCGTCTGGTGTCCCTCCCTCTATCATTTCGCTGGCCTTATCAGCATATCGCACATTCCCCAGTGCCATCCCTTCGTGCTCTCAACTGGCTTTCTCTCTATTGCCCTGTGAAAAATTATTTGACAAACAGTTTTCCGCACGCGTTTTTCTTCGTCCCCTCCTGCCCCTCCGCTTTGGGTTCGACATTTTTTTTTCTACTTATTTTTCTTTCTTCTTTTTTTTTCTTTCGTGGCTTGGCATAAAAATGCAAACTTTTTAATTGGGTTTTTGTGTGATCGCATTTGGGGCAAAGCTATCGCCCAAGAGGAAGTCTGCAAAACCTGAAGGAGGATTGGGGGGGGGGGGGGGGGGGGGGGGGGGGCACAGGGATTGAACTGGTAAGTCGCAGGTCCGATGCCGCCGAAAAATCCGCGTTGATGGCAGCCATTTGACGCCGCTGACTGGCTGTGCGCCAAACAATTTTAAGCCGCTTAGCTTGACCGAAAACTTCCTCACACTAAACAAGATCCCACCAACACCCCAGCCAGCACCCAGCCAGCCCCATTCTAATGAATTCATGAACCAAAAAAAAACAAACCGAACATTGTGCTCGCGGCACAAATTAGCCAGGCTCAGCAAATTTTTTGACAGCTTCACAGCAGCATGACGGAGGGGGGCGGATAATCCTTGGTCAGGTGGGAGTTGGCGCGGGGCTTATTCCAGGAATAATCCGGCAGTAACCTGCAGCCAATTGTAGAGCCAAATGTATCGAATTTTGAAGGTGAGTTTTTGGTCAGGATTATTTGGAATGTAACTGGAGAGAGCTCTCGCCTTTGCTACCACTCAGGTGTAGGTGTGGAGTAAAAGAAATCCAACTCATGGCTGATGGCCCGCTCATAAAAGTAATTGAACTTTGTGTATTTATTGATTAAGCAATTAGTTGAAATTACACTAAGCACACAAAAGATACGTAGATACATCTACACGCAGCTCATGTCTGGCTGTCGAAGGTGTGTGTGTGTGTGTACACAATTCGGAGTAACTGTGCCAGTGGCAAAGCTGCAACTGTAACTGTAACTGTAACTGTAACTCCACTCCCAGCCCTACTATCAACATCATTGGGCTCCACTTTACCGTTCCATTTGCCACGCTCTCTCTCTCTCTCTCTCTCTCTGCCACGTTCTCTCGCGCTCGCCCTCGCCCACTCTTTGCGTTTTGCGTGGCTCCCTGTGTAAATATCACACGCCACATACGCAATATCTACACAGGGAGATATAGCTATGGGTCTGACTGTGACTATGGCCATCGGTTTGCCTCTGACTCTGTCTACGGTTCTGCCTCTGCCTCTGCCTCTGACTCCGACTATGGCCATGTGCTATTTATGCCTGGCACACATCGCAAACAGCAGACAGACTAACAAACTAAACCAGACCAGACTCGAGCAGACGATGCCAAAGCCTCAATGCCAGCGGGGGTGTCAAGTAACTTACTCAGAGTCCACATATTTTGCCGGAAAGCGCATAACGAATGGCTTACGAGTCAAGCTTGGGATATCCGCCAAGTAGCAGAGATCCCATGGTGTTTTAATGGAATAAATGCAGCCATTAATGTACTCTAATATGCACAAATAAACTCATAAATTTACCTGTTCGGATACTGTTCGAATGTTTACAACCACTAAAACACGAGAATGCGATTAATAGACGAAGCATAAACGAGCGAGGGCGAATTCGCTCCAACGCAATGACCAATTCACGGCAGCAGCGCAGCAAAGCAAAAGCGAGCGTGGGCGAATTCGCTCCAATGCAATGACCAATTCACAATAGCAAGATCGTGCGTGGGCTTCAATTCGCTTCAATGCAACAGCAGCGCCGCAAAGCAAGAGCGGACGAAAGCGAATTGAGAAGAGAGTAATCCCAGACGCAGAGAGAATTTATTTCGTGTTTCATCAGCTTCCAATCCTAAGCAATCTTTTAATTCTAGCCTCAATCCACGCAGAGTATCCGCAATTCGCTTTTGTGGCTTCAACTCCACGCTTTGCATTCGCTGCTGTCGGCTTTAACGGGCGACGCTTTAATTGCAGCCCCCTGGCAGTGGGACAGAGCAGCGGGTGGCCACCATCAAAACCGGTCAAAAGTAAAGTCAAGCCAAGGCAGAGAGTCCTGTGTACTGTGTACTGTGTTCTGTGTCCTGTGATGGCATAGCTCGCTCCTGTAGTTGTACCTCTCCTGGAGCTTGGGCCTGGGCTTTGGCTTTGGCTTTGGCTCGCATGTGTTGCCATCGATTTGGCCGTTTAACATTTATCGCCTCGTGCTCTGCAAATTACTGCAAAAAGCGGATGAGGGAGGGAGCGAGGGGAGGTGTAAGGCAGGGGGAGATCAATATATATGTCCAGCAATTTTGCACATTTTCCACTGCGTGTCACCTGCGCAGCGCAGATAAATGGCCAAAGACTATGGCGAGCAGGGGGCAATGGCGCAAAGTGTTGCCAGTTGAGAAGGATACTTAGGGCTTAGGTTGAGGGTGGTTATCGGTGTGGGTGGGGGTGCCGCAAAAGTTTGTCCCCAGCCAACGGCAACGATTTGTCGATTTATGTGCTGTGAATTGAAATGCAGCCAAGAAAATTTCTCATTCAACGAGCTAATGCAAAACAAATCGCTTGAAGGGACACGAGGCAGGGGATTCGGGACGGTGTGGCACCTGTGTGCAGAAAGTCTCTTTAAATGTGTGTGCAGAAATGTGTGTGTGTGTGTGTGTGTGTGCTAAGCCAGTGTCTCTCTTGGGTTATTAGAGCGCACCACTCCCCAACGCTTTGCCATCGATCTCAGCTGCTTGTTTTATTATCTCAAAGTGAAACAAAAGCAACAAAAACACAAAAATAAAGCCATGGAGAAAGAGAATAACAAAAACAAAAGACAACAGGGAAAATGGCGAAGCGAAGCTCTGAAGCGTTAGCGACATTGTTGACCGTTAGCCAAGAGAGTATCAGCGAGCAGGCAGCAACAACAACAGCAACAAGGGGTGGGGGAAGGGGAAAGGGAAGGGGAAGGGGAAGGGGAAGGGGGACAACAACTACCATCCAAAGAGGAACAGTGTTTGACCCCAGCTGGTCCGTTGGCTGTCCAACTTGTCGCTGCGATGATTAATGGCCACCAAACTGATAAATCAACTTTGTCGCTGTTGCTGTCACTGCACAAACACGCCGCAAAATGCTGCGCCCCAC